TCCTCTTGAAGACTTCCTAGACTGTCTAGGAGGCCCCTTGGATCCCCTTGGGGCCCTTGGGGCCCTCTGTGGCTGTCTTGGGACATCCTGGGGCTATGTCGAATCGTATCGTTGCCATCTTGGACGTTTTGGAGCCGTCTTGAAGGCCATCGTGGGCGCCTTGGAATTCTCGTGGGCCGTCTTGGAGGCGCCTTGGGGGCCTCTTGGACCGTCTGGAGGCCGTCATGGGGCCGTCTTGGAGGCCTCTTGGGCGCTCTTGGGGCCATCTTGGGGGTCTCTTCGGCGGCATTGGGCCGTCGGCAGGCCGAAAACGTCAAAATCCATCAAGAGCCCACGGGAAATCAGCTGTCTTGGCCTCTTCGGGCCTTCCTGCAGATCCCTTTGGAGGCTTCTTGGACTGCATTAAAAGCCTCTTGGGGGCCTTTGGGGCCGTCCTGGGCCATCTTGGGGCCATCTTGGACGCCTCGGGTGCATCTTGGGCCGTCTTGGAGACATATTGGAGCCGTCTTGGGCTCTCTTGGAGCGATCCTAGCCGCCTTGGAGGCATCTTGGTGACCATATTGGGCCGTTTGGGCCGTCTTGGTGGCGATGTGGGCCACACCTTCTGGTCCTTCCGAGGGGCAGGCGGTCTGGGCCGAAGGCCACTGGGAAGGGTTTGAAAATCAGAATCTCAGCAAAATGTCTGGCACGCCGTCCAACCCTGTGGCAAGCACAGGGGGCGGCGGATCCAAGACGCCTACGGGCCTCTTGGGGGCCGTGGGGGCGTCTTGGGGGCCTCTCCTTGGCAGTCTTAAATCGTTCCTAGCCCGTCTGACGGGTCTGACGCCGTCGGAAGCCGTCTTGGGGGCCTCTCTGAACCGATGTGGGGTCCTCTTGAGGCGCTTCAGGGCCGTCTTGGAGGCCATATTGGGCGTCTTAGAGGCCTCTTGGGGCCGTCTTTGGGGCCTCCTGGGCCGTCATGGGGCCATCTTGAAAGCCTCCTGGGCGCACTGGGGGCGAGGAGGAGGAGGAGGAGGAGGAGAGGAGGAGGAAGGAGGAATAGGAAGAAAAGGACTGGGAAAAGCAGGCGAAGAGGGAGTAGGAAGAGAAACAGGGAGGAGGACCAGGAGAAGGAGGCAGGGGGTATGAGCGAGGAGACACAGTCGGACAACGAGAGACAAAGTCGGAGCAACCCCCAACCCCCAGAGTCTGGGGGCGCCCCAGAGTCTGAACAGCACTTTTTTCAGATCTGTTGTGGACGTGCAGGCCTGCCCAGCCGGTAATCGAAAGAAATGCATTATCCTAATCGGCCCTTTCTTCTCCCCCCTTGGCCACCTCACTCCTCGCTGAGATCTTCGTTATCCTCGTCTTGCCAGTTCGTCTTCTCTCTTCCTCCCCTCCCTCCTGGACCTCCTCATTAGGGGGCCACATGCGCACCCTACCCCTACCCCCCACAATTTCTGAGGGCGAGGGTGGGGTTCACTTCGTTCGGGAGCTCCCAAGCGAAGTGAACCCCACCCTCCCCCTCAGAAATCGCGGGGGGTAGGGGTAGGGTTCGCATGTGGCCCCCTACTCGTCTCCCAAGTCTCGTTCTTGCCGCACGTGTGTCCGCACTCGGAGGGCGACAGGCCTGCGAGCACATGACGGCACTCTCTCCCTGTCCGCTATCCGCTGCCTTTCCCTCGGCGGCGAGCGAGGGGGGGGAGGTTTCAGTAGCAAATCATGGGAGCCTTGTGTACCCTCTTTAAATCTGCTTTCGGCGTCGATTAGCGTCGATTCGCGCCTAGAGTCGATGCGATGGCGCCGATTTGCGTCGCGGCAAGCGCCGATTAGCGTCGGTTTAGCGTCGATTAGCGTCGATTCGCAAGAGCCGACAGGATGGTACGGGAGGCAGCCACCCATGAGTTGCCACTGAAGGGGGAGGTGAGAAGGAGGAGGCCTTCTCGGAAGGCGGCGGGGCTTCTCAGCAGCCCTCTGGCCTTCGGGCAAGCTTCCCGTGCTTCCGGGGAGGGCTCAGAAGACTTCCCCGACGGCTGGAGGACTCCGAGCCTTCCGAGAAGGTCCGCCCCCCTCACTCCCCCCCCTGGCTGGCCGCCGACCCCCGCTCTGGACTGGGATGGGTCTGCCTCCGAGTGCTCGGAGCGGACCTGGCAGGATGCGGCGGAGTTTGGCCTCCTTACAGGGGGGGAGAAGCAGGTGAGCAGTGGCGGGAAAGGCGAGAAGCAGGTGAGCAGTGGCGGGAAAGGCACGGGAAAGAGCCGCGCCATGACGGAAGAAGCGCGGCAATGTTTGAGGGGCTCTCATGGATTTTGAATTTTTTCGCCCTCGGCCGTGGATGGGGACCTCGTACGACATCTCCGATAATTCCTGGGGATGGGCAGTTCAAGCTGCTTCTCAGACGCATCATGTGGGCTTTGGAGGCTCCTGACGTCTTTGGGACCTCCTAGGTCGTCTTCGGGGTTTCTTTTTGGGTGCCTCTTTGTGGGCCGTCAGAGGGGCCCATCGGACCCTTATCGGGCGCCTTCAGGACGCTCTGGGGGCTTTCGGAAGCGCCTTAAGGATGCCTCCTGGGCCGCCTTGGGAGCCTCTTGGGAACAGGTGGCGATCGGCGGCGAAAACAGCTGGTCCTTTGGAGGCCATCTGGAAAACCAACCAGGAGACAAGAGCATCGCGTCTCCGAGGTGGGGATTTATACATGACCACCGTCTGGAGGATCAATTTTCGGGGACCTATTTGGGCTGCCGAGGGCCAAAACAGTCCAAAACATGTCCATAGCCACTGCCCCCTGGGGCACCAGGACGTCGGCCCCCAGGCGGTGGACATGGATACATCCCCGCCCGGGAGGAGGGGGGGGCATGGTGGCCCCCTGGCCAACAGGGGGGGAAGAGGGGGGAAGGGGGAGAGGGGCCCCGAGCCCCCTCTGTCAGCAAGGGAGGCCGCCCTCTTTACCCCCCCCCCGTCCACGGCGGGGACCCCCCCGGGGGGGAGGCCACGACCCCCGGGGACCACCCCCCCCCGGGGGCCGAGAGGCATCGCAGCTTGTGCTGGCCTTGCACGTCGGCGTCTCCTGCCTCGGAGGGTGAAGTTGCAGCCCCGACGCACACCGATCCGCCGAGGCTGAGACCCTGGAAGGGGCTTCCCTCGATCAGCGCGTTGACTCCTCCTCCTCCTCCTCCTCCTCCTCCTCCTCCTCCTCCACCTCCTCCTCCTCCTCCTCCCTCTCCTTCCCTCCCCGTCCTCCCTCCTCCTCCTCGTCCTCCTCCTCTCCTCCTCCTCCTCCTCCTCCTCCTCCTCCTCCTCCTCCCCCTCCTCGAGTGACTTCTCTGGGAGGGACTTCCCTTGATCAGCGCGTGGTCTCCTCCAGTCACCCGGCGGCGAGACATCGGCGTGCTTGGCCTGAATTCGGGCGTGTCCCACTACAGGAGGAATATTAAAGAACAGTATAACATTGTCTGGTGACGTTTTGTTTTGTTATGTTTTTTGTTTGTTTGTTTGTATTTTCTCGTTTTTCTTCAAGTTCCGCCTGTAGGAGGACATGCCCGACCTGATGATAAGCGTGCCAACTCCTCAAGTCACCCGGTGGCGAGGCATCGGTGTGCTTGGCCCCAAGACTGTCCAATCTGGCCTCCAAGACGGTCCAATGTGGCCTCCTCCAAGGCGGCCAAGATGGAGGCGTCTTCTCAGATCGCCAGGATGGCTTCAAATACAGCCAAGATGGCCCAATATAGCTTCCAGGGCGGCCCAACATGGCTCCGAGACGGCCCAATCTCGCTTTCAGAGGGTCCGCGAGATGCCTGGAAGATGCAACAATTGTCAAGAACCCTGCAGTACTTCTCAGATTCGCCTTTGCGGGTTGCAGGAGACCTTCAAATCACCCCAAGACGGCCCAGAAGAGCCCCATTGCGGCCCAAGAGGGCCCCACAACGTCCCAAGAGAGCCCCAGGACGGCCCAAGATGCCTCTCAATGCCCTTCACATCGTGACCATCTCGCTGAAGTTCAAACATCCTTGTCGTGTGGCCCTCTCTATCGGTTCAAGGATTGCAGGGAAGATTGGGTGAGGCATATCTAGGCCCTCGGAAAGACCACACACTTTCCAGGTGGAGCTCCTGCCAGAACGCGCTCTCGGAAACGAGTTGCGCTATCCACGTGCACTGCTGCGCAACGCCGCCACAGCGCTCAGGGGTGCGCCAGATGGGGTCTCGGTGGGGAGGTTTCTTGGGACGTCAGGGCGGGGGGGAGCATGACAGCTACTCCGATACCCACTAATACCTACAAGCGCGGGGACTTGGTCAACGAACATGGGCGCATGTTGGGCGCGATGCGTCGGGGGACGGGCCAGTGGCACACCTGCCGCTACAGGTGGAGATGGCGGGCCCGCGTGGCAGCTGGAGATCTGACTGGTCACAGGATGTGTGCGACTCTGAAGCGACAGCGCGATGTTGAAGACCAGTTGCCCACTTTCTATCAGTGTAGGTTTTTTCGAGTAGGGTATCGACTGCATCATTGACTTACCCCGCACTTGTTGTTCCGCCGAATCTGGGCAACACGCGTGGAATGTTCCGTAGGTTTGCGGATCATTCAACGTACTGTTTCGTAGGGTCGACAATTCTGAGGTGAATCAAGTATGTAGTCGATCCCTACTCACGGCAAGCTTTGGACCACCCATATATACTTCTACTGTATGCGTGTCTGCCATACAGGGCCGATCTGCCCACTTAAGCATCGTCAAGTATTAGCTCCGTGGCGGGTTCCTTCTGGCCACACCGCTTGGGCAGCAAACTGTTATAAGGGTGTTTCATTATAGGTTCTCGTAGGACGTGCGCCTCCAAGGGGGTGGGGCACACAGTACTTCAGGCGTTGTCCCATGTCACCTTTTGCATTAGAGGAAGCACTGGACTGGAACCCACTGGGCCCTGGGTGAAGAACCGCGCGACGGGGCGTAGAGGATTGCGCATCATGGCCGCGACAGTTCCGTCATCGCGATCGCCGCCATCGTTTTCGTCGTCACCGTCGCGTCCACAGCGGTCCATCCGAAGCCCCATAGGCCCGCTCCTTATTTGCATATTGCACTGCGCATGGCAAGGTGCAGGCACAGCAGGCGTGCCAAATGCTGGGGTGCAGGCATCGCCTGTGCATCTTGGCTTTCGCGCAGCCGTCGCGGGCCTTGGGCTTTGTCGACGCAATCCCTGCGCGTGGCAAAGCGCCGGTTCCGCCGACCCCCAGAAGAGGAAATCTGCGACGATTCCATGGGTTGCTCGTGTGGTTCGGTCAGGGCGAAGTGGAGAATCGGGACGGAGGAGGAGGATGAGGAGGAGGAGGATGAGGAGGATGAGGAAGAAGGATCGGAGGAACGGAAAACAAGAGAGGAGGAGTGAAGGAACTCAAGCGTAGGGAGGACATGTGCACCGAACTGGCAGTCGCGCCATTCCAATATGGTTTGTCGATAAAAAGAGACAAGCGCGCGAATCTCGAGCAGTGGTCACGACTCTCGCTTGCCCCAGCTCTCGGGGACTCTTGGGGCCCTATGGAGGCTTCAGTTGACCCTGGGGCCTTGGGACCTTCCTTCGGCCTCACCCTTCAGGCCCTCTTGGAGCTCTGCAGAGCTGTCTGGGCCCCTTCTGGAGGCCAGTCGGTGCCGTCCCGGGGATCTCTCGGGGTTCTCTCGGGACCATTGGGCCCTGGAGACTTCTTGGGTCTCTTTTGGGGCAATTTTTGGCTCTTCTCCAATTTTTGATCGTGCCGTCTTGCCGTTCCTTGTGGCTGCGGTTGGGGCCTCCTTGAGCCTTCCTAGGTCTATTTTGGGGGCCAGCTGGGGCCGTGTTGGGCTCCTCTTGAGCCGATTTTCCCGACTCAATCCCCGCGGTTTTGCACCCCAGTCTGCATAGGATGTTCCACACCCTGCGATCCTGAGCAACGTGACGTCCAAGCATCTGCACGAAACACGCCTTGCGATGGCTCAGGGGTAGACCTGCGCCTCTTGAGCTTCTTGTTCGGAATCTTCGGGAGACCCTCCGGAGCCACCTTCGGGCCACGCGAACGGCCTCTGAACCTCATCTGCGAGGACCGTGGCGAGAACGATTTTCTCTCGGGTGCTCGGCTGAGAGGATCCACGGCCATCTGGAGCCATCTGGGCCATCATGGATGCCATCTTCCTTGAGATCCTTGCTTTACATTTTCTTTACACGGGGTGACTCTGCCTCATTTCATGCCCTGGGAGCCTCCTGGATCGATCTGGATCGACGAGTGCAGCATAAAAGATTGGGCGCAGGGCTCCTGTCGAGCTTTCTTTCTGATGTTGTATCCTTTCGTGACGTCGGATCTTCTGATGGGCCATTCATCTTTGGCAGTCTTCGAAGCCATCTCAAGCTATCTTGGGCCACGCCGGTCAAGCTGGAGCCGCCCTGGGCCACTCTAGAGGCCTCGGGCGAACGTTGGCGGGTTCGAGGGTCTCTGAGGGCCAGCTTGAGCGCTCCCCCCCGCTCGAATCTTACTCGAGTGGCTTGATAAGCCACTTCGCCGACCCCCAGAACAGACAACGAGTACAGTCGGGGCGCTGAAGAAGGAGCTCTTTTCGTTCGGGAGGGGCTCCGTGCTCCTTGATTGTTTCGCAGCTTGCCTTTCAGTTTTCCTTGGGTCTTCGATATGAAATCGAAGCTTAACTTGTGGAAGAAAGGGGCCTCCTTTCCTGATTTAGAGTTCCCCTAGGTCTACGCCCCGACTGTAAATTACACGATCGCAGAAGTCATTCGGAGCACTCGGGCCCGCACGCAGTGTTCTAGTGTCCGAGGGCCAGCGGGTTTCTTCGAGGGAGCTCGTGCGCTCTCCCTCCCCCCCGAGCAGTCTCTTTGGAACCCTGGGGAGGGAGCGGCAGGTAGGGGGCCACATGCGAACCCTACCCCTACCCCCCATGATTTCTGAGGGGGAGGGTGGGGTTCATTTCGTTCAGAAGCTCCCGAGCGAAGTGAACCCCACCCTCCCCCTCAGAAATCATGGGGGGTAGGGGTAGGGTTCGCATGTGGCCCCCTAGCAGGGGAAGGGGGGCAGGCACAGCAGGTCTTTCGGGTGCAACTCCTGGGAGGTCAAACTCTGATTTGGCCCTGGTCCGAAATCCCGCTTCATCCGGCTTCATCCCGCTCAGTCCCGCTTACTCCGGCTCAATCCCGCTGAATCCCGCTTAATCCGGCTTAATTCCGCTTGATCCGAGGCCCACTCTGGCTTAACAGCCCCCTCTTAAAGTTCTCAATGGGGCAAGCCAGGGTCGCTGGACGAGAGTGAGTCTAAACCCAGGCAAAACATTTTGACTTCGACCCAGCCGCTCCAGCCTACATTGAAGATCAGAGGTTGCCAGTGCCGTTACGAATTCCGCCCATCCTTTGCCATTGGAGATCCCACGTGCACAAGCGCAGCAGGTCCCACGTTTTCAAATACCGCCACGAAGCAGCCACCCTGGGAAACGGCGCTACCACCTTCAATGCCGTGTGTGCGAACAAGCCTTTGCAGCAGGGCTGGACCTAAACGGTGTTTTGGCGTTTTCGTGGGCCGTTTTCGTTTCGAGTTCGTTTTGCGGTAAAGGCGAATCGAAGACAAAACGAGGGGAAACGAAAACACAACGAAAACGAAAACACCGTTTAGGTTCAGCCCTGCTTTGCAGCCTTGGCTCGGGCCAGCCCGTGCGGCAGCGTCGCGCCAGCGATGAAGCTATGGGGGACACGGTCGGGCTGGAGGAAGACCTCGAGGGTCGGCGACGCAGAGGCCTGCGAGGAGGAGTGGGAGGAGCAGGACAACGATCCGGAGAAGAAACCACTGCATGAGCATACGTACACCTTCGGAGCTCCGCGCGGATTTGTTGCATCTGCGCTGCCCCCCCCTGGCGGCGCCTCCCGGCGCTGCCCCTGGCGCGCTCCGCGCGCTGTAGGGGAGGGGGCACGGCGCCGACCCCGGGAAATCCGCTCGGAGCTCCGAACCTGTGTGCTCGTGCGTGTTTCTTGGCGTCTCCAGCGATGTTGTGCCCGATGCGCCCGCCTACTGGAGCAATCGACCACGCAGGTCGAACTCGATGGCCAAGTATCACTACGACCAGATGGTGTATGTGTCGAAGGACAAGCACGCGGTGCTGGACGAGATGCTGGCGAATACCTACCACCCGAAAGTGACCCAGGACCGTCCGTGCCCTTCGGGGCAGCACGGCCGGGTGAGGGGTGGCTGTCCCTGTGTCCAGCCCGGCGCGCTGCCCGGCCTCCCCATTAGCTACCGCGTGAAGAGGGTCATCCGCGTGGAGGATTCCAAAATGTGGCAGCGATATCCAGCTGCGTGCGGCAACTCCCGCCACCGTGCCTGCCCAGCATTTTGGGTGGCGGCTGTTCGGGGGGGCACGGAGGGACGTCTCGTGTGACACTTCGTGTCTCCAGGCTTTTGGAGAGCCGTGTTTCGGATGACGGGGATTATGAGGATGGTGGGGGTGATGACGATGATGATGATGATGATGATGATGATGATGATGATGATGATGATGATGATGATGATGATGATGATGATGATGATGACGGTGATGGTGATGGTGATGGTGATGATGATGGTGATGATGGTGATGGTGATGGTGATGGTGATGATGATTAGGATGACGATGATGGTGATGGTGATGGTGATGGTGATGATGCTGATGATGAGGATGATGATGATGATGACGATTATATGGTAATTATGGTGATTCTGGTGATAGGGATGGTGATGGTGTTGTCGCCGACGACGACGATGACGATGACGCTGTTGATGATGACGAAGACGATGCTGATGATGATGTTGAGGATGACAATGATGGATTATCATGATGGTTATGATGATGCTGCTGCTGATGATGACGACGTTGATGATGATGCTGATCATGCTGAAGCTAACGGTGATGAGGACGAATCTGACAACAAAGACAAGAACGCTGATGGTGATGAGGATGGTGGTGTTGATGCTGATGATGATGATTACGATGAGGATGAGTATGACTATGATGAACAGGATGGTGATGATGAGGATGATGATGCTGATGGTAAGTTTTTTGTTGACGATGGTGATGATGATGATGATGATGATGATGATGATGGTGATGGTGATGGTGGCTGTGGTGAGGCTGAGTATGATTATGATGATGCTGCTTCTGATGATGATGCTGATGATAGTGATGCTTACCCTGACGATGCTGATGATGATGATGATGATGATGATGATGATGATGATGATGATGATGATGTTGATGCTGACGAGGATGATGATGGTGACGGTGATGCTGATGGTGACGGTGATGCTGATGGTGATGGTGATGTTGATGATGATGCTGCTGCTGCTGCTGACTATGATGATGATTGTGACGATGATGCTGATGATGCCGATGATGATAATACTGATGCTGATGCTGCTGGTTTTGATGAGGATGATGACGCTGATGATAATTCTGATGATGTTGATGACGATGATGCTGATGCTGATGATCATGTTGATGATGATGCTACTGATGATGATGATGCTGCTGATTGTCATGATAATGATGCTGATGCTGATGGTGCTGCTGGTGATGATGATGTTGATGATTCTGATGATGTTGATGATGCTGATGCTGATGCTGATGCTGACGATGCTGATGCTGATGCTGATGCTGATGCTGATGATGATGATGATGATGATGATGATGATGATGATGATGATGATGATGATGATGATGATGATGATGATGATAATGATAATGATGATGCTGCTGCTGCTGCTGCTGATGCTGGTGATGGTGATGGTGATGGTGATGGTGATGGTGATGACGTGGACACGCGTTTGGGCGGTCTTTGGGCTGTCATGGCTTCCTGTGAGGCCGTCTTGGGGGTTTGTTGGTGCCCATTTGGGCCGTCTTGGGCGCTCTTGCGCCGGCTTGGGGCTCTCTTGGGTCGTCTTGGGGCCTTCATGGCCGTATGGTGGGTGTTTGGGGACCGTCGTGGGGCCTTCCTGGCACCGTCTTGGACCGTCGAATGCCCTTCTAAGGCCGTGTTGGGTCCCACGGGAAGCCCTTCTGGGCCGTCTTGGGGCCGTCTTGAGCTGACGGCAGCCCGAAGCGGCAAGAGCTCAAGAATGCAACAATGAAGTGGCTCTTCGGAGCCTGATAGAGGTTCCCTTGTGGCCATTTGGGGCCCTCTTGGAGGCATCTTGGGCCGTCTTGAATCAATCTTCGGCCGCATTGGGGCCATCTTGGGCCGTCTTCGAGGCATCTTGGGCCATCTTGGTCTCCTTGGTTGCCTGGACGGACCGTCTTGGAACCTCGGGGCGCACACCCGTCGTTATTCACGAGGAATCGTGGCTTGGGAGGCCCTGGAGCGCTCGGGAGCAGCGCCTGGGAATGCGGGAAGTGCAGGATCCTCGAGCGGGTGTGCGTGGGATGAGGGTTCGAGGAGTTAGCAGCAATGCGGGAAGTGCACAATCCTCGAGCAGGCGCGCTCGGAATGAGGGTTCAGGCATTAGCGGCCATGCGGGAAGTGCACCATCCTCGAGCGGGCACGCGTGGAATGGGAATTCAGGCGTCAGCTGCCATGCGGGAAGTGCACCATCCTCGAGCGGACACGCGTGGAATGGGGGTTTATGTCTTGGCTGCCATGCTGGGAGTGCACCATCCTCGAGCGGGCACGAGGGAAGTGGCCCGGGAAAGGAGGGGCGGTCCACGCAAGATTCTGCGGGTAGGGAGGTGGACGACCCCCTATGAGAATTCAAAGGACCCTACAGGACAGACCTTGGCATTCTTTCACGCCTCCGCGTGCCAGGGGGCACGGTGGCGGATTGCAAGCAGAGGGAGACCATCCGAGCTGGCCGTGATGGGGAGACGTTGCCCGAGTTCGACCCCCCCGTCTCTAGCGACGCCGTGGCGAGGCAGCACGGCAACGTTTTTCATGACCTGGACAAGGCGGGTCTGAACGAGGTGTACCTGTGGCACGGCACGTCTGTTCGGGCCGCCCTGAACATTGCCCAGGACGACTTCAACATGGACTTCGCTGGTTCTAGCCGCGGCACAATGTATGGGCCCGGTGTCTACCTGGCAGAGTCGTGCACGAAGGCAGACGAATATGCGAGGGATGAGCCGGGTGGCTACTACGAGGGCGTCTTCGCGATGCTCCTCTGCCGCGTGTGCATGGGGAAGTTCAATTACACTTTGGAAAGAGACGAGACCGCTGGGGAAAAGTGCCTCACCGGGGAGTATGACAGCACTTTGGGCGACCGGTTGAAGAGTGTAGGCACCTTCCGCGAATTTGTGGTGTACAACAGCGACCAGCTATATCCCGAGTACATCATCATGTACGAGAGGGTCCTCTCCAGTGATCTGCCCGCCGATGTAGAGGAGCGCGCGAACACAGCTTTCCACACGCAGCTCCCAGCTTACTGGTCGAGCTGCCACTTGAACCCCCTGACGACCCAGTTTAATCTGCACGTGTACGTCCGCTTCAGGACCCTGCGCCTGCTGCAGAAGCTGGTGGCGCGGACCGTGGACGGAAGGCCGCCCAGGGTGGTCAAGGCGCGGCGCGTCGAGAACTCCGTGGTCTGGAATAGCTACGTCTCCTACAAGCGGAAGCTCGCCGACCGGCTGACGACCCTGTCCACGCCCGACACCCCGACGCCCAGTTTCACGGAGGCGTGCGAGCTGGACGGGGACCGCAGCGCCGGCGGCGTGCACACGGACCTGCTCCTGCAGGAGCTCCACTCGGAGGACTGCGTTTCCTTTGACAACATCGAGAGCAGGCTTAACGAGCACATGCTGTGGCACGTCACAGACAGGGCGGGTGCGGAGGAGATCGTCAAGAACGATTTCAAGATCGAGGGTGGAAACTGGTTCAGGTTCAAGAGGGAGCATCCGCGGTTCGGAAAGGGCGCCTATTTTGCAGAGCACCTCGACCTGGAGCAGGCATCTGAGGAGGACGGCATCCGTTATGTGCTCTTCTGCCGTGTAGCCTGTGGAGACTATTACTACACAGAGCAGGACACAGAGACAGACGCCCACAAGAGTTGCCGGGCGGCCGGCAAGGACTCTATACTGGCCAACCCGTGTGGACAAGGACCGCGCCAGTTCGTGGTTCTTGGGAACGAGGGCGTGTACCCCGAGTTTGTCCTCGAACTGAACTGCAACGAGGAGCCGGATCCCAGAACGCTCGAGGAGTCGGACGACGATGTCGCGGAGGTTGCGGAGGTCGAGGCTCCAGCTTGCGAGCTTCTTCAGCAGTGTAGCATCTCATGAGCCGAGTGACTGGCTGGTCTGCTGCCCCGCCCCGCTGCTTCGCCCCCCTGGCCCCCCCCTCTTCGGATGCAACTCCTGGGAGGTTCAAGTCTGGCTTTGCCCTGGTCCGAAATCCGTCTGAATCCCGCTAAATCCGGTGCAATCCCGCTGAATCTGGCTCAGCCCCGCCTGATCCGCGGCCTAGTCCAGCGTAGCAGCCCCCCGACGGGGCTTCGTTTTCTTTTATCCTTCCGACGAAAACCTCCCACTAGTTTTCACTCGGGCATGTCCCTCAACAGGGGGAATTTTCAGGAACAGGCAGAACAAAATACTCTGGGGAGGAGTTTCGACCACTTTTGATCCATTTTAGATCTTTCTTTGACAACTCTCTGTTGCTCTTCCAAGATCCTCCTGTAGGAGGACGTGCCCGACCTAACACTAGTTGCCTCCTACCGGCGTCACCCCAACATACTTATACCATAATGTCCGTCGCCCCCCCAGGAGCGTGCGTCCTATATCGGGCCGGACGAAAGGGGGGGATTGGGAAAGGGGGGGTTACGAAATCTGCTGCATGCAGCTGGTTTCGGCCTGACCGACGGGCCCATTCCTCGATACATAGCCGCCTCTGGCGCCGGGAGGCGCCGGGAAAATCAGCTACGTGAGCTGATTCTCAAACCCCCCCTTTGCTATCCCCCCCTTTCGCCCGACCCGACTATAGTTGCCTCCCACCCCCCCCCTCTCCTCCTGCCCCAGGGCGGCTGGTCCAGCGGGGGGGGGGCATGGCCCCAGGTCCCCCGCGGGGGCGCCGAGGGCCCTCAGGGCCTCTCGCGCGCCGCGGTCTGCGCCGGGGCGGCGGCCCCTCTCCGGACCGGGACCTCCGACCTCGTGCTGCTCTCGCAGCGGGCATGGCCCCTGCTGCTGGGACGCAGCTCCTGGGAGGTGAAGTCCTGTCTCGGCGCTGGAATTCTCGCGGTCGATCACCGGCTCATCATCTGGGTGAATCCGGCTCCATCCAGCTGACTCTGGCGTACGCCCGGGCCGACTGGCTTCATCCCGCTCAATCCGGCTGACTCTGGCTCAAGCCCGGGCTTAATTCGGCCAGCTCCGGTGAAGTGGTCCTCTCCTCGGGTTGTTTCGCCCTTCCTCGTACCAGCGAAGACCTCGCATGAGTTGTCTCCTGACCTTTGCGAGACCCGAAGGGAGTAGCCCATGCGTATCCTTAAGTCGGGCACGTCCCTCTACAGGATGAATGTTCAAAACTAGTCCAAACATACATCCTTTTTCCATTCCGTTTTGACTCTTTTCGAATATGTTTCGAATCTATACATTCTTCCTCCCAGATCCGCCTGTAGGAGGACATGCTCAACCTAAGCTCAGGAGGGGAAAAAACACACAGACACAATTAATCGTCGATCCCCCGGAAAATATGGGAAAATATGGGCAGTGGGGGGGATGACAAAACCCCCCAACATATGGGAAAATATGTGGAATCGTTTTTTTGTGCGGATTTATTTGTGTGTCCCAGGGCCTCTTTATAAGCGCATCCCCACCTGGGGGAACACGTCGGCAAGGTGGGCCCATCGGCCACGCCAGTGGCGGCAAGGATCGGTGGGTCGATGCTCGGAGAGCCGCGCGCCGCGCACCGCGCGGCGTGAGGGCGCGTGGCTGGGCGGCCCGTGGGGGCGAGGAAGGGGGAGCGGACGGAGGGTAGAGCGGCCGGCGAGGAGGAGGAGGAGGAGGAGGAGGAGGAGGAGGAGGAGGAGGAGGAGGAGGAGGAGGAGGAGGAGGAGGAGGAGGAAGAGAGGAGGAGGAGGAGGAGGAGGAGGAGGAGGAGGAGCAGGAGGAGGAGAAGGAGGAGGAGGACGAGGAGCAGGAGGAGGAGAAGGAGGACGAGGAGCAGGAGGAGGAGGAGAAGGAGGAGAAAGGAGGAGGAGGAGGAGGAGGAGGAGGAGGAGGGGAGGAGGGAGGAGGGGGAGGAGGGGGAGGAGGGGGAGGAGGGGGAGGAGGGGGAGGAGGAGGTGGGAGGAGGGGGAGGAGGAGGGGGAGGAGGAGGAGGAGGAGGAGGAGGAGGAGGAGGAGGAGGAGGAGGAGAGGAGGGAGGGGGAGGAGGGAGGGAGGCAGGGAGGCAGGGAGGGGAGGGGAGGTGGAGGGGAGGGGAGGGGAGGGGAGGGAGAGGGGAGGGAGGGAGGAGGGGAGGAGGGAGGAGGGAGGGAGGAGGGAGGGAGAGGGAGGGAGGGAGGGATGGAGGGAGGGAGGTGGGAGGGAGGGAGGGAGGGAGGGAGGAGGGAGGGAGGGAGGGAGGGAGGGGGAGGGAGGGAGGGAGGGAGGGAGGGAGGGAGGGAGGGAGGGAGGGAGGCAGGAGGAGGCGGACGGCGGCGGCGGCGGCGGCGGCGGCGGCGGCGGCGTCGGCGTCGGCGGCGGCGGCGGAGGAGGAGGAGGAGGAGGAGGAGGAGGAGGAGGAGGAGGAGGAGGAGGAGGAGGAGGAGGGAGGAGGAGGAGGAGGAGGAGAGGAGGAGGAGGAGGAGGAGGAGGAGGAGGAGGAGGAGGAGGAGAGGAGGAGGAGGAGGAGGCGGAGGATGAGGAGGAGAGGAGGAGGCGGAGGAGGAGGAGGAGGAGGAGGAGGAGGATGAGGAGGAGGAGAAGGAGGAGGAGGAGGAGGAGGAGGAGGGGGGGGAGGGAGCGAGGGAGGGAGGGGGAGGAGAAAGTGGAGTGACCCGAGGAGGCCGGGCGGCCTCCCGCGTGAGGCGCCGCCGCGCTCTCTCGCAGGGGAGCGCACAGGGGGGGGCGTGGCCTCTGCAGGCGGCCGCTCGCTCCCGAGAGGTCTTCCTGGGCGGTTGTTCGGGACGATTCGGGCATCCCCCTCAGCGAGGCGCACCTGCCGGGAAGGCACCCCGAAACTGGAAAGCCGCGGCGCGCCGACGAAGACAGCGGCCCCCAAACTCGCTTCTTTCCGTACTCCTCGAGCCTCGCTTCGCCCCTCGAACCTCTGGCCTCGAACGCCAGCTCCCCCCCCCTTTCGTTGCCCCTTTGCCCTCCCCGCGTGCCCCGCCGGCACGGGCCCCCGCGCCGTGTCCGGGCGCGTCGTCCACGGGAGCCGCCCCGGGCAGGCCGGCCCGCAGCGCCCCGCCGAACGAGCGGAGCGCGGCGCTCGGCGCCCTGCGGAGCTCCCGGCAGGCAAAGGCCTCCGAACGGCCCCGTGCCCGAGGCGCTTCGGCCAAGGGCGAAGCAATGAGTGCCCCCTCCTTCGTCCCAGCGATCCGACGCTCCGAAAAAAGTTGGAGCTGGCGGTTGTTGGCCGTTTTCGGCCTCCGGGGGCCCTCGCCGGGCCTCGGGGCCGTCCAAGGACGACTCAGGACGAAACACGGGCCCCCAGGGAAGAGGTCCAGACCTCAAGTGCCCACGCGTCGAAAAAATTGGGGTGCCCGGATCTCCTGGGCCGAACGTAACTATTTATCATATTCTTGGTGCTAGCGCGACCGCTGAAGGGGTGAGTTCTTGCTTCCTAGGGTCATCCGTATCTGCCTCGCGGGCCTGGCCTCTGGGCCGCCCGCGCGGAACGTCTCCGTACGTCCGCGTATCCGCGGGATCGCGCCCTAGAATCCAGACCGCGAGGCTTCCCCCGCTGATGGGCAAACTTTCCACCATCGTTACCATATGTAGGACGGGGGAGAAGGGAGGATGATGAGGTCCTGCTCCTCCTCCTCCTCCTCCTCCTCCTAGGTCGCTGCGGGGGGGTCACAAAACATACCGACCGTACCTCACGTACAATTTTACAGCAGCGCCGTTGCGCCCCCAGACTGCAGGCTTCGGGAGCAGGGAGACTGGGGGGCCTCATGGCGGCGTCCGTCACCAGCATACGATGAGAACTTACTGCTACAACCCATTGGAGGCGGGGACATTGGAACGACTCGAAGAGATCAGTGCCGAATTCAACAGCTGGGACGTCATACTACTCAGTGGTACGTGTCGCTGGGCGGGACCAGAGGCTGTAAAACGTAACTACCTTCCTTTCCACACCGTCCTCCAGTTCGGGGCCCGAAAGGGGAAATGGGTCAACAAAAGCTGCGGAACGGCCGTACGAAGATGCCACAGAAGCGACCAGAGAGCCGTCCGCGAGATCTGCACCCCTCCCAACTACCTCCAGGGACGTGTGGCAGGTGTCCGCCTTACTACGACCCACTACGACTACACCTTCTACGTATTTTACTACGCTCCTACCCATCAGCGGTACTACCCCACAGTTAGCTGATAGTCTTACTCACTGGTTGGAAGAAAGTACCGACTAGCTAGGATGCCGTACTACAGTAGTACTGGGGGGCGACGTCAACAGCGACTTCGGCTGTCATATGGAACTCGACGGTTCCATTGTCTGCAATAAGGGCCCCACAGTGGGCCCTTACCACAAGGTAGATAACACTAACGGGACCCGCTTCAGAGACTTGTGCGAAACCAGCGATCTCAGTATCGTCACCACTCACTACAATGTCGGGGCTACCTACTACGGGCACTCTGGGTACACTAGTAGAGTGGACTACATTACGATTCTTACTGGTAGCCTCCCCCTAGTCAAGCGGCGCGAAGTACTACACCTATCAGGCAAGCGACTACATAGTATCAAAGTGCGAGGCCACCGCGACCACGTTCCGCTCGGCCTCACCCTCCTCGCCTCAACCTCCACCGCCTCTTTCCCACTCCGCGTCCGCCTACAACAGGGGCTATGCAGGGGCGGGCTTGTGGGCTGCCTGCGCAGCGGGCACAAGCGCGGCCAGCTGATTCAACAGCTGGACCAGGAGCTGCAGGCGGTGTGCAGGGACAGGTGGGAGGAGGCCCTAGTAGAACGGACTCCAGATACGACTCGGAACTTACTAGGCGGTGCAGCTAGGAGGGCGCTACTAACCATTTTGGCGAAGACGGGTGCGACTGACGAACTAGACGAACTCACTACCAGGGCAAAGCAAGAACGGCTAAGCCTGTTCGAGCAACGACGACCCTTGCAAGCACGATTGACCGACGAGAGCTCAGCGACCGAGTACGATGCGGTACAGGCCGAACTAAAGGAGCTTAGTGCAGCACTAAAGACAGTAAGAGAGAAGGTTGAGAAAGAGAGGAGGGGGCAGATTGTAGAGCGAATCTGGGAATCTTCCCAGCAGCGCAATTTCGCAGACATGCGCCGGTTGCGAATTCAGTGCCAGCGGAACGGACGAGGCCCGGAAAAGCGGTACTGCCTTTCACCAGAAACCGATTGGTCCACGGCGTATTGGTTGGGCGAATTTAGTCGACCAGCACTAGACGGGGACTGGCCGCGACTCGGATCGATCGAGAAGCCGAGCGAGCCCAGCATCGAGAATGCATTGCCGATTCCGTAGACCGACTCGACTGCCCATAGACACGGAACTACAGGAACAGGTTGCCGACGACAAAAGGGCTATGCTCCGCTATTGCCAACGCGCGTGCAAGCGGCGGGCCTGGCCAGCTTGGGGCGTTCCGACCGAGCTCGCCTGGGTCATGCTGGGCCCCGTGCTACATCTCCGCAACCCGACAAAACTATCCGACCAGCTCGAAGAGCGTAGAATAGTAGCAGCTGGGCGGAGAAAGGGCGAGGGGGACCTAGCCCACTACACTACATTGGGGAAGTTCGAGAGGAGCAGGGAGCTATTGCAGACATGGGGATGGGCGACGGGCAGCGAGCTTGGGGGACCAGACAGCACGATGCTTGTTATGAAGACTTGTGGGCACAACGATCCTACAGGGTGGGCAGGGGGACTTACGCAGGACTAGGGGCCACCAAGATCAGCGAGCTGAACTTCGAATACAAAGCGTACTCATCCGAGTTCCTCACCCAGTGCCGCAGCTGCCAGACCACCCCCATTAGATTGGCACCGCTCTCAGGCCTTCTCGGCGGAGAAAAGCAACAACAAACCAGGCGTCCTCGGCAAGCGACTCCTGCGCGTCATCGACGCTCTCGGCATGGCCTGGCGCTCGGGCATCCACCGACGCGGCCCGCCACCCGACCACCGCTCGCGGGCCCAAGTCGGCCTCCCGCACAGGTGCCGCGAGCGGCCCAAGGTGGAGTCGGCGCCG